TGTGTGAATTATTAATAATTATGCATGTAAAAAGAAAAGGACGAGGGAGTGTAGCTATGCTGGAATTTTTAACTTGTTTTGGGGAAGGACAGTTATATTTCTAGTTGTGCTTTTGAAGATATAGTATCTTTCGATTTTTGTATTAAAAAAAATGCGTTTCATCTATGTTTATTAAAATTTGAATATATTTTTTTAATCGTTGCTTATGGTAGTGCAAAAATTATACTTGTAAAAGGGCAATGGCATGATAGTGACTTAATTTGAATGGGGCGTGTACATAAAATAGTGAACATAACAATGATTTTTGCAAAGTTTTGTGTATTTAAGTAAGACATTGGTGTTTTTTGGTATAAAAATAAGGTATTAAAAAAAACATAAAAATAAGTTTAGAATTATGATTCGAGTAATTAAAATATAATATGAGTTTTTTAATGTAAAATTGAAAGTAATGAATTAAAATTTAAAAGTTGCTTAAAATAAAGTAAAAATTGATAAATGAGGGTGTACAAGATTTAAAATTTGAATTGAAATGCTATAAAAATGGTAAAATTTGATTTAAAAGGATTACAGTGAAAATAAACATTAAATTTATGGAGAATCAAGTTGTTAGCATGAGGAGAGAGTAAAGTAGATTTTTTAAAAACTCACAGTTTTTATGATTGTTCAGTCAGGAGACTTGGTCTTTGGTTGTTGTCCTGATGACGTGGAAGGCGTCCCATGTAGAGCTTGTAGAAGCTTGTGGATTCTGTTTGGCGATGGTGGCATGTCGTCTGGATGGTTGCGTTGTAAGGCCGAAGGTGGGTAACTTCTCACCGGCTTATTTCGCGGGAATTTCGGCTGTGTCGTGGAGGGGAGATTGCTTGGTCGTTTCGTTGGAATGGCGTGCTTGTTCCTCCATCTTTGCTCTTGGCTCTTTCCTATCTCTTCTTACCTTCTTCGCTATGGCGTCCTTCGTTTGGGTTATCCTGTAGACTCTCTGTAATAATATGTTGAAGTTCTGGTTGACTCTTGTAGTACCTCGTCGACTCTCGCTATAAGCTGTGGCAACCGAGGGTCAAACCTATAGTAACCGAGAGGGACAGTCAGGGCGTGGAGAGTTTTCCAGTACCTCTCTGCACCTTGTAGGACCTTTAACAGTTCTCACAAAGTACAGGCAGTCGTGGTCGAGGCAGAGTGGAAAAGCTTGGGAATGTCCACTCACACAAAAAACGAAGCGACACAGTTGTAGAAGGAAAGTTCCTTGAATAGATAAAAAGCGAGCCAAGAGCAAGATGGAGATAGTAGATTTCTTACTGTTTTACATGGTCGGTGAGTTGGTGACAACCGGCGACGCGCTGATGGTGACGACTACTGTAACTGACTCACTGTTGCTAGGCCGGGTCTTATTTATACAACTCCTTGGACCAGGAAGGGGACCAGGAAGTATTGCCTTACTGCACGTGTCGTTAATCGACACTGGCACCGGTCTGTCGGCTTCCAATCTATCTTTAGAAGTTACTTTGTGATTCTCTCAATCTTGCTTTTAACTCAGCTTTTAATCTATTATATAGTTTTATTTATTCATCCTCAGTACATTACATATGGTGATGCAAGGACACATGTCAATTATGCGTATAATTATTTATAGATATGTTTCTATATACAACATCTTGTTATAAGTATTAATATAGGGTTGTTGGTTTAAATTATCATATATATATATTATTATCCCTTGTACAACGTGGTACAGGCTATGATAACCATGGTGGGTAGAATTTGGCGAAAGCTTTTAGAGTAAGTGCATACATGTCTACACATGTGAAAAGCAGTTCGACTTTTGAACTTACGAATGTGACAGAACACAGTTTGGTTACTTGCCCTCGCTCGTGTGGTTGAACTTTTGCAAGAATCGGAGTTCATTGGAGCCTTTTTTTTAATTATAAAAAAGTGCCCAATGCGAGAATCGATCCCGAGTCGTAGCGGTCGAAAACCAACGGTTTAGATCATTTTTTACCCACCCCCTATCGATGTATATTAAAATAACTAAAATATATTTTAAAACGACACTTGAAGTTACACCGCATGAGTTTCTTTTCGACGAAAAATCAAAATTTTATTTCAAGGTGAAATATCGACTATTTCTATCCTTTTTGGATGAGGTATGAAAGGGTGAATTATGAAGAGTAATGACGAACGGAAAAATAAAATAAAAGTGTCCAGGGATGGGAATCGAACCCACAATGTTCCACTTACCGGGCAGATGCCATGTCCACTAGGCTACCCTGGACGTATTTTTCTGTTCGTCATTACTCTTCATAATTCACCCTTTCATACCTCATCCAAAATAGATAGAAATAGTCGATATTTCACCTTGAAATAAAATTCTGATTTTTCGTCGAAAAGAAACTCATGCGGTGTAACTTCAAGTGTCGTTTTACAATCACAGGCCGCAGTGTATTATATAAAATATATTTTGTAAGGAAAATCTATATAGTTCTAATACAAAGATACATAGATTCAGAGAAAAGCCACATGAACCAATAGTTTATTTCAACTCCCGACGTTTCAGTGACTTCCTGTCACTGTCTTCAGGGGAATGGAGAAAGTGACAGGAACTCACTTCAACGTCAGGAATTAATATAAACTATTGGCTGATGTGGCTTTATTTTTCTCTGAATCAACTTCAAACCAGAAAATACATAGAGGATTATAATATTATTTCATACAAATGAATATATATATACAAATATTTTCAAAGAGCCACATCAAAGTCTATTTGCACAAGACTTTACATAGGAAGATAAAAAAAAAAAGACTGGCGAAAACCATTAAATAATCGATTCAATTTTGCTCTTCTTTTAAAAATTAAACTCCACTTGAAAAAAAAAAACATTTCATTCAAAATCCATTAAAGTGTATTGATATATCCAATAAAGTTAATTTAATTTAGTTTAAAATTCTCTTTAATTTTAAAAGTGGCTTTATTCAGCTTGAGGCTTAAAACGCCTCTAGGATATTTTCGAAAACTCCATTCCTTATTAAGGACTAGGAAGTTGTCACCTTCCACTTTTAACAGAAGTTATAGAGACAGTTTCTCGGTAGGGAAATTCAAATCTATTCTGGAAACGGATCAAAACCGAAGCTCTTTAGGTTTGTAGCACACACACACACACAGCAAAGGAAACAATATAGATTCACTATTCATTTCAATATATTGCAAATTAGAGCTGATTTAAAATATTTATTTATGATCAATTATATGATCAGTAAAATAAAATCGTCAATGTTATTATTAGTGTTTTTATACATTAGAGAAGAACTATGGAGTGTATAACGGAGATGATTGAAAATTGACGCGTTTTTTCACGAATAGAAAGTAGAATCGTATATAGGCGCCATGCTGAGCAAAGGATATATATCATATAGTTCCGTATTGGTCAGACTAGTGCTACCATAGATACGCGCCTTGCTGATCACTAGATATGTCATGTGGATCCTTATTGGACAGACTAGTAGAATCATAGATACGCGCCTTTCTGAGCACCAGAGATGTCATAAGGCTCCGCGTTGGGCAGATAGGTAAAACAATAGATACGTGCATTGCTGAGAACCTGAAATGCCACATGGCCCCATGTTCGGCAGACAAATAGAACCTTAGGTACGCCTTGTTGAGCACTATAGATGTCAAATAGCTCCGTGTTGGGCAGACGAATAGCGTCATAGATACGCGTCTTTATAAACATCAGAGATGTCATTTGATTCAGTGTTGGGACGATGAGTAGAACCATAGATAACCGTCTTGTTGAGTACCAAAAGTGTGTTAGGAATCAGGATAAATGAGCGTCCAAATGCCAACGCACCCATTTGACCTGATATTCCTTTAACTTACTCTGAATAGTAGCACATTACAATAGCATCAAACCCCAATGGTTAGTCATTGAGGCGTTTATTCACGAAAATTAAATAGAATCAACGCGAGTAAATACATTTCCCCGATCATTATAAAATCGTTCTGACTTAAAACATATTAGTTTCTCTGGTTTTCTGCAGCACTATTGTTGTTTTCTCTTAGTACCTTTTTCAAATCTGGCATTGGTAATCCATTTGTACGTAATTTAAATATATTCTTCGGTTGAAAACTGAAAATATCCGTATCAAATTTCGATTTAGATCTATCTATACAAATGATAGTTATTGTATACAAGTGCTCCTCCTTATAACCTTCACCAGTTTTACACATGTCGAATAGCTGAAAAGGTCGAGAGATTGTGTTAATAATTTCCTAATAAACGAATCATTCACCTTTGTCCTTATATACTTCTCAGGTTCATTATTTGTTAAAATATTAAATTGACTAGAAAGTACATCGGTTAACTGAGGTGAAAAAAAAAAAGAATAGTCTATATGGAAATTGATTCATTTTTGTCTAAATAATATGGAACCGAATTATTCATAACGTCCTTGTATCCAGAAACATCCATATACAAAGTATATCTAGAATTGCATTAATCTTTAAAGATATTAAAATTTGAAGTAGCTACTGAAGCTTCTTCGAGTTTACCAAACCAAACATTTTTTGCAGTTGGGCGAAGTTGCTAATTTGCAGCAGTTTATGAATAAAATACTTGACGCTTTAATGAGAGGACGTTCACCACTTCTCTAGGGGACGTTTTACACATTCATGAGACAGTGGATGGACAAATTGCTTTCGTGAATTTGTCATGTTTTGAACACAGAAACTTTCTAGGTCATTGCCTCCTTCAATATTATTGATGATATAATTATGAAGAACAAGAGAGAGAGAGAGAACTATATTCAGAGATTGAGAGATAGAAAAAGAGTATATATATATAATCATCAAATGTTATAATAATATTCTCGATATAAATAAATTGAATATGTTTCTTTTTGTGTGTTGTTGATAAATAATCTACTTATATAATTGCCTTTTTCTGTCTGTGTGAAGTTCACTGTGTGAAGTTCACGGATAGATTTTGGTCAGAATGGATAAAATAAAAAAAAGTGTCAAGGGATGGGAATCGAACCCACGACCTTCCGCTTACCGGGCAGATGCCATGACCACTAGGCCACCAGACCACAATTTAAAATTGTAACAAATAGTATTTGAATCAAAACATTCAATCGGGTAAAACACGGGCGTTGCCCGGGTCATTCGGCTAGTATATGAATAATGAACAGTATTGATTAGGATTTAGATGAAAATATGTTATATTCTTGACAAAAAAAAAAATAGATTAAAAGTTGATACAAAAATAACGAAGAAAGAATTTAAGGAGCTATAAATCCTCTCTATAGAGATTTCTGGAAAGTCAAATTTTCTATTTATGCTTTTAATCTTCTATAGATTCCAAGCTTTCTGAAAATAATCTGGAGTGTTTTTTTTTATATTCTGCTATGAAAATAGAGACTGTTGTGTTTTGCCCGTTGTTTTGTCAATAATCCACTCTGAGTCGTCGGAGCTTCCTTTGTACCGGTTTTATTTATAACCAGTGCCGGAACATAAGGAGAACACCACACACAGCCAGACGAGGAGATACCCTTCCGTCGCGCAGCCAAAACCGAAACCAAACCGCCTGGTTCCAGTCTCGGCCGGTTTCCGCCGCCAGACGCGAAGTGGCGTGAGGATTCTCGCCTGAACCCTCAACAGATACTTTGTCAAATTCGGGTTTATGACTATTGTTTTGTGCATTGTCTACCATAATTGATAGCTGTTTATGGATACGTAGAGCTTTTTGTGTTGGTTGATACGAAATCAATGATTTCTGGTTTCTACAGTGTATATTTAGACATAAAAATACAAAGAAAACAACTTCAGAGATAGAAACAACCATCTACAGTAATTCTATTCACACAGGAAATTATTTAAATCTCAACTCTTTTGGTTCGATTAATAATGAAAACGGCCATAGTAAAACACTCTCAAAAGATTAACCACATATTTCTCGAATACGAATATTGACACAAACGAAAAGAGAAATATATTTTTGAAGAGTAATAAACAATAATTATTTGATATATTTGTTAGAAAGCACTTTAACAATACCAGATGTCCATCTTTTAACAATAACAACGATCAATATAAAAGAAAATTTGCTCTCTCCCATACAGATACAAATCATAAATAATTGTCAGATATATGAAATATATAATCACCACATATAGCCGAAAATATAGTCACTTCACTATCAGCGTGAGCCCTCGTCGGTTGTCACCAATGTTCTTCTCATCCACCATGTAGACCAGTAAGAACTCTTCTAACTCCATCTTTCGCTCCTAGCTCGACTTTTATCTGTTCACGTTACTTTCCTAGTGCAATTGTGTTTTCGTTTTTTGTGTGGACATTCTCAAGCTTTCCACTCTACCTCGACCACGACTGCCTGTACTCTGTGAGAACTGTTAAAGGTCTTCCAAGGTGCAGAGAGGTACTGGAAAACTCTCCACATCCTGACTCTTTCTCTCGGTCAACACAGTATAGCGAGAGTCGACAGATTCGCACACCATAGATTAAGTCGACTGGATACCTCATCATATATATATATATATAAAACGAAAGAAAAAATAAAAGATAAAAAGATCAGGTGTTGAAATCAATATTAAAAATGGCATATCTTGACCAGGAGCATATTATATATATATGAAAAAACAACAGAAAAAAAAAGATAAGTGAATCAGGTGTTGATATTAAAAAATAAAGAAGCAATCTCCTGACCACGAGCACATGTGCTTTTTAGATGGCAGAGCGCCATCTCGTGGAGCAAAAATAACCTAAACCTTTATTTAGCTTGCTCCGTGATATTTGGCCAACCCGATTTCTTGATAAATCAAGAAAAGCCATCCACGAACACGTGCTCGTGGTCAGGAGATGCCTTCTTTTTTAAAATAAATATATATATGAAAAAACAATAAAAAAAGATAAGTGGGTCAGGTGTTGATATTAAAAATAAAGAAGGCACCTCCTGACCACGAGCACATATGCTTTTTAGATGGCAGAGCGCCATCTAGTGGAGCAAAATAAACTAAACGTTTATTTAGCTTGCTCCGAGATATTTGGCCAACCCAATTTCTTGATAAATCAAGAAAAGCCATCCACGAACGCCTTTCGCGCTGTTGGCGCTCGTCAGCGTGGAGAAGGCTGTAACCACTGCGACCAAAAATAAAAAGGTCAGGTGTTGATATTAAAAATAAAATAAAAAAATACATAGCGCCATCTGATGCAACAGAAATCAACTATTCATTGATTTCTGTTCCACCAGATGGCTCTCTGCCTTCTGAAAAGCACATGTGCTCCTGGTCAGGATATGCCTTTTTATTTTTAATATATATATATATATATATAAAAAGATTATAAAAACGAAGAGAAAATTATTTATTTTTACTATACATGGGCTACGAGCTTTCGGGCAGCCTCGCCCTTCTACAGGTAAAGGCGAGGCTGCCCGAAAGCTCGTAGCCCATGTATAGTAAAAATAAATAATTTTCTCTTCGTTTTTATAATCTTTTTACAGTTCTATAAGAGAAATTTTCAAGATTCAAGTTATATATATATATATGTAATGAGATGAGTTACTGTTGACTCTTGTAGAATCCTGTCGACTATGATGTGATGAGGTATCCAGTCGACTTAAACTATGGTGCGTTAACCGAGATGAACAGTCAGGATAAGGAGTTTCCAGTACTTCTCTGCACCTTGGAAGACCTTTAAAAGTTCTCACAACGTACAGGCAGTCGTGGTCGAGACAAGTGGAGAGATTGGGAATGTCCATACACAAAAAACGAAGACAGAGTTGCACTAAGAAATTTCCGTGAACAGATAAAAGTTGAGCTAGGAGCGAAAGATGGAGAGATAGAAGATTTCTTACTGGTCTATATGATGGATGAAGTGGACCTGGGGTAAAACCGACGAGAGCTCGCGCTGAGGGTGAACTGACTGTCAAGTGACTGTATATTTGACTAAAGACGGGGCGCCTTTTTAAATATCTTTCCCGAGAAAGGGGAGTATTGCATTACAGCACATGCGAGAGGGGCCTGGATCGTCTGGTGAAATTGTACACTGGCGCCGTGGCAGTTTCCTTATTTAGACTTTGTTGTTTTGGGACTGCTATATGCTCGATCTCTGCGTTAGCTCAACTCTTAATCTATTACAGAGTTTTATTTATTCATCCTCAGTTTGTACAAAGTACATTACATATGATGATGTAATGACACATGTCAATCATGCGTATAATCATTTACAGATGTGTTTCTATTATACAACATGAAAATCTTGTTATAAGTTATATACAATATGGGGTTGTTGGTTTAAATTACCATAGATGGGCCCCGGGAGTGAAAGGGTTTATCCGGGTTTACGCGGGTAAAGCTTCTCTAACACAGGTAAGTAATTAAAATTTATTTTGATTAATTTAAACTGTGAGGGTTAAAAAGGGCTATAACAAGATGATTTGTTTGGATATATAAAAGTGAAATAAAAATGACATTTTTGTTTTATTTTTAAAAAATTATGATTAAAATAAAATGATGAAATAAAAATTCACATTCTAAGAGAATATTGGCGGGCGGTGGAAAAGGTTAGTAATTGAAGAATATGCAATTGTTAGGAGTGCACATGTAAACCAAATACTCAGATCCAGGTGCAAAGCGAGGAAATAGACTTGAGCGTCTTCCTAGGCAAATTTTCACTTGCGATCCTATATAAGGGTTACAGTGCTTTGTAACAATTTTAGGGTTATTGGGTTAAAAGTTGTTGAAGAAAAGTTGCTTATTAATATGATTGAAAAGGTGGTAGAGCCATGCGATAAGTAGAATTGTAGCGACAGTAGGTGATCTGACTTGACTCGAAATCAAAGGTTGATTGTGGTCCGCTAGAGCTGAAAAAAAATTGAAAGTTGAAAAAAAGTGAACGCTTTGTGCATGCGTTGGTGATTGTGCTCTGCGGATGATTGAAACGAATTCTTGAAGCGTGTTCAGGCCAGAAGTTGAGATTTGTAAATCTGGGGAACTGTGTTCAAAGAGTTTGTTGAAATACGAAATAAAAAAGAATTGTCAGGCAGTACTGCCGTTTTTCTACGATGGTTTGAAGCAATGGCTGAAAAGATAGTGATGAAAATATAGGGAATTGGTTAAAGAATATGATTGTTGAAAACGATTGTTGTAGATTCCCGATAGGTGATGATAAACAATGTCATATAATAAAGCTATTTGCACAAATATAAAATACTAGACGAATGACCCGGGCAACGCCCGGGTTTTACCCGATTAAATGCTTTTATTCAAATACTATTCGTTACAATTATAAATTGGCGCCGTGGATGTCATTCTTGTATAATATATAAATGAGTTTTAAAAATTGTAAAAAAAAAAAAATGCCTCGGCCGGGAATCGAACCCGGGCCGCCCGCGTGGCAGGCGAGCATTCTACCACTGAACCACCGATGGTTATGAAAAATCCCATCCGTGAGCTTCAGACAGACAAACAAACAGACAGAATAAGGCAAATATATAAGTAGATACGAATGACTCGGGCAACGCCCGGGTTTTACCCGATTAAATGCTTTTATTCAAATACTATTCGTTACAATTATAAATTGGCGCCGTGGATGTCATTCTTGTATCTACTTATATATTTGCCTTATTCTGTCTGTTTGTCTGAAGCTCACAGATGGGATTTTTCATAACCATCGGTGGTTCAGTGGTAGAATGCTCGCCTGCCACGCGGGCGGCCCGGGTTCGATTCCCGGCCGATGCATTTTTTTTTTTTTTTTACAATTTTTAAAACTCATTTATATATTATACAAGAATGACATCCACGGCGCCAATTTATAATTGTAACGAATAGTATTTGAATAAAAGCATTTAATCGGGTAAAACCCGGGCGTTGCCCGGGTCATTCGTATATAATAATTGTATAAACGAATGCAAGACAAAATCACCGCGAATGTTTCTTTTTTTAAGGCAATTTCTTTTTAAGGCAATTATCGTTATTTATCGTTAATTTTTGTTTCGATTTTATTGAAAAAAAAACGATATGGTGCCTTTAAAAAATGATCTTTATTACTATGCAGTTTTCTATTTAGTCAA